AGATCGACTCCCGCAGTATTGACGAGCTTCTCAAGTTCATCGAGGGCACCGACGCGTCCAAGACGGGATCGAAGAAGCGACCCGGACGCGGAAACCCTAAGAGGCGAGGAGCCGCCAAATAAACCGCTGCTCCCGATGAGCGAGCAGATGTCAAACGAGGAAAAGATTTTTTTGATGAAACTCGAATGTGAAGCATATATGTTAACGAGACGTCCATGGTTTTTTCATGAATGGGTATGGGAAACACGGCTTCTCCTCAGGACGTAAAAGCGACGGTGGCTGAGTGAGTCGAATTTACCTTCTCCCCGTGAATGTATTATATAGTGTTCAGGAGCATTAAAAAGAAGGAGGAGGCGGAAACAAGCAAGGGCAAAAATGTACATCTACTACCATATATAGGTTGGCTTCCAGGCCGTGGGAAGCAGACGATGAAAAGAATACCTCACTCATTCACGTACATGAAATATTTCGTCTCATTGTGACAGCTTGGATATCCTCCTTTCGCCTTTTGAAGGTGTCGACTAAAGGAATGGGCGGCTACGATGTCAAGCAAGTGGTGTTCAGCAAGATCAGATATGAGAAAACAAAGGCAAGGACTCAATTCATCAGAAAGTTGGCCGCCTATGAACCAGGTATCACACACTCCCCTTGACCCTTACCTTACCTTGCCAGCCATAACACCAGAAAAGGGCAAAGGAAACAAATAAACAGAAAGCAGAAAGAAAAAGAAAAGACAAAAGGCGATAGGAACACACAGAGTGTCATTTCCCCCCCTTTTCTTCGAGAACATTTTTTTTGCCCGCCTCGTACGCCAGCCGCCCACGTTCCCATATTGCCCAACCCCTTTAGAAACAAAGAAAAAAACATTCCTCATAAAAGTACAGACATGGAGAATACAGAGATAGGAAAGATGACCGTTACAAAAGACAAAGAAGAAATAAAAATTGGGTAAAAAAGAATGACGGAATGACCAGGCCAGCAGACCACACGCCACATGAGATAGACTTCCGATGGACAAGCTCTTCTCGCTGTTAAATCCCTCATGAGCCGCCTTTCAAGGCTGCGCCGATGGAGACGCCTCGCTCTACCGGGGCATGGTACGCGCCTATACTTTGGAAGCCCCTGGACGAGAAGTTAGCATCAAGGAAGGAGAAATGGGGAATAGAGTAGGACATCTTTGTAGACGTACTTCATCAGGTCAAATCCTTGCTCCTCCTCAGGCTCATCCGCGGCATCCGCAGACTCGCGAAGGCCAGACTTTTGCGGTCGCGAAGGGCTGCTCGGCGGCGACTTGCCGAGCGCAGGCGGGCTGCTGCTCCGGGGCGGCGCCTCTCTGGCGACCCTCGAAGGGCTGACTTCGTATGGCCCCAGCGGCTTCAGCGGCGTGCTGCCAATGTCGGCGTACTTCCAAAAGGGCGCCGGCGAGCTGGTCGGCATGTGCTGGCTGGGCCGCTGAGCGGTGCTGGGGGGCGCAAGCTTGGGATGGACTCTGGGCGGCGCGGGCGTGACGAAGGACGCGTTGTCGTCCTGCATGTACGACGACGTCAGGGTGGGCGACTGAGGCTGGAAGCCGGAAAAGGACGAGTCGGCGGCTGTGGATTTCCGCGCCCGGGGCAGCGGGCTGCCGTCCGCGGTCAGGCCCGAGCTGCGGTCCGCCTTGCGGCCGTATGCGCGATCCGGCGTCGACTGGAGGCCGCCGCGGAGGGCCGACTGAGGGGGCGGCGATACAAGCGGCGATCCTCGCCTCTTTTGCGCAGACGCGGGATCCCTGGCCAGGACGTCCTTGGGACCGTGGGTGATGTAGTTCAGGTGACTCGGCGACGACGGGACGGACGATCCCCTGTGGCCGCCACGGCCGATCTTGTATGCATTCCGCACCATCTCATCGCGGGCCTCGGGCACGATGTGCCACTTCATGCCTTTGCCGGGCTCGTCGGTAGTGCGGGCGACCTTGTCGAAGGACTTGTTGAGGGACAGATTGTGGCGAATGGAATTCTGAGGCCCAGAAAAGGTCAGCCGTCGTCATCATCGAGACTAAGCATAGTGTCTATGCGACTTGACTTGGAAGCTGCTACTCACCTGCCAGCCGGCTGCATGCTGGTGGCGATAATACGAATAAGTGCTCATGATGAAGTTGTAGATGCCATTCAGATTCAGCTTGCCATCGGGCGCATTGAGGATGGCCTGCGTGATCATCTGGGCATAGCTGTACTGGGGCTTGATGTGCTGGTTCTCGTCGAGACTGAGGTCTACGCCACTGGCACCAAGGAGACCTCCGGGGGTGCTGGCCGCGACGGGGGACTTGGCGACCGTCGCGGCGCTGTGGTCCTGGGACGATGTCGGCGTGCCCGGTCGCTTGACGGCTGCCTTGGCCGGCGTATCCAGGGCGTACGGGCGAGGGTGCGCAGCCTTTGGCGCATCGATGCTGCGTCCGCAGCGCTGCAGAAACATGGGGTGGACGTGGAGCGCACTGAGTTCCGAGGGGAGGACGAACATCATCTCGACGTTGCCAATCTCAATGACCTCGCCGCTGGTCAGAGGATGCGAGGTCTGGGGCCTGATGGGCTGGCCATTGACCTTGGCGCCGTTGCGGCCCTTGATGTACAGCATCCAGATCTCGTCCTTGGAGTTGAAGGAGATGGTGGCATGCTCGCGCGACACCATCTTGCTGGGGCCGAGGTCGATGTGCACGGCGGCCTGGCCGCTGTCGCTGCCGCTGCCGGCGGGCGCGCCATGGGAGGGCTCGGGGGAGCGGCCGATGTTGACGTTGAGCTTGGTGATGTAGTAGGTCCAGTCCTGCGCCGCCACCTTTGCGTATGCCTTGACGCCGTTGCCGTTGGCCTCGTGGATGGAGTTGGAGTGGTCCCTGCTGGCCTGGACGGGCTGGGAGCGCAGCTGCTGCGTGACCTGGGCCACCAGCAGGTCGTCCTGGGCCCTGGGCGAGTGCGACTGCGATTGCGACTGCGACTGCGACGACTCGGGCGCCTGCGAGGGAGCGCCGGGCGGGAGGCCGAGGCTGTCGGGGTGGTCGGGCGAGAGGGCCCTCTTGCGGCGCTTTGCGGGACGGCTGGGCGACGAGCTCTCGGGGTCCAGGTCGGCCTTGTCCTTGTCCTTGTCCTTGTCCTTGCGCAGGTCGCGCCGGCCGCGCTGGGCTCTCTTGGCCGATGCCGGCATTGTGGGTGGTGGTGATGGCGAGGGGCGCAGATGCGAAGAGATCGCGATGGTCGCTGCGTTGAGGTGTTGGTGTAGATACCTATGGATACCTATAGTATGCTAAGGGAACAGGTGAGGTGACGGCTTTCGATGCTGCGGAGATGCTTCTGAGCCGGCGCCGTGGAGGTTGAGAAAACAAATATTTTCTCCCGTTGCCTAGTACTACTACTCTTTTTTTTAATATTTTTTTTTGTCCCTCTTCTCGCAGCGTCTTTGAGGCTCCTCGTTTGCGCAACCACAACCACAGCCAGCGTGTCGATGCTATACCGAGTCGAAGTCAGAGCGAGGGCAGTGGCAGGTTTTTCTCTGTCTCTGTCCCTCTGGCGGCGCATCAGAGGCCACAGACTCGGAGCCTGCGGTCAGTGTCGAGCGCCGCGGGCTGGCATTTAAAGGGCAGATGCCGGCACAGGCAGTGAACCAGATCCATCCAGCGTTGCCGTAGTGTTCGGATGGCTTGCAAGGCTTGCTCAAACACAATCGCGTTCGCGTCGGCGACCCACCACTTTAGATGTGGAAACCTTATTGTGGAGGGGGGTGAAGGGTGAAGAACCTACCTGTAAGGGTCGGGGTTGGTACCTGTACTCGAACATGCACAGGGCTAGGTACCTTACCTACTAGGTACTGTACCTTATGTGGTACAGGGTACGCGCAAGGGTGGTATTGTCCGTTAGTCGGCAGTTCTGCAACCCCCTCTGATGCAGGGCGCCCAGGGCGGGAATGCCCCCGTCTGCCGTTACCGCAGATACCAGCCACACGCGGTACTCGTCCTGCGTCAGGGTACGGGGCTTGTACAACCAACGACAAGCCCAGCGCCTCAGATGAGAGACGGGAGTCTTGCAGTCTTTTGTCTACCCGGATCGGGAATTCCCAGTGTCTTCTTGCGGCAAGACTGTGAAATCTGCTCGTGGTCAAAGAAGGCTTGGGATCAGGGCCTCTAGAAAAAAAAAACGTTGGCCCTCTGGTGAGCCTTGTGGTGATATCAGTTCTCCCTCGGCAGCAAAGTATCGGGTACCTGCTTATCGACAAGCTCTGTGCCCATCACTTGTACGTGGAACTACCTAGGTAGGTACTCGTACATCCTGTAGAACACAAGGGCGGGATTTCGTCACACGGGCAAACACCTGCGCCTGTATGTATGTACTTGTGCGACCAGGGATCTGCGTCACGTTCAGACCCTTGGTCGAACTTCAGGTATAGTATCTGTACAGTACTTCGTACTACAAACACACTCGTACGCATACAGTAGATAGGTAGGTAGTCATACGCAGGAATTCACTGCCAAGGTGCCTTGCAGCTCGGTTGCTCGACAAATCTCACTTGGCAACACCTTGTCCTGTCCTGCTTTTGTCTCAGCACCTCGAGCATGTGCGCAGAACTTACATGCATATCATCCCTGCTGCTTTAGCGCCATGTCGACGTCCAACGCGGAAAATGTGTTTTTCCTGCCAGCCTCAAGCCGGCTGAGTTAATCCACTAGCGGACTAGCGTCTTCACTGTGCACGCACCCTGGCCAGCATCAAGCCAAACAGGTGGAATTTCGAATCTCGAACTCACAAGTCACTTCTATACATTGCCATCTTGACCGTGATTCCTCAGCATCAGCACATCAAGATACCAAAGATCGAACTCACCACCGCACGCGCATAGCACCCCTACACGACCAGCCGCTGCCCGACGCGATCCAACACTCGTCACAGCACCGAGCGACGGCGCTCAAACGCCACTCCAGAGGCTCTCCTCGCGCTGGGGGATGCTCTTGAGCCCAACAGCCTCGACTGCGACAAACCATGGCGAGCGAGCAGAACTACGGCGTCACGCCACCCATCTCAGTCACACTGCCCACCGAGGCGGAGAATCGCGCCAGCGATGCCCTCCTTGAGGAGCTCCGGCGCCAGAAGACGTTCGAGAGCCCGTCGGATACCGAGAAGCGGCATGTCAACCACCCTGCGCTGCACCCCCTTGTGCTCCTCCTCACTAACCAGTTGAGCTGTACAGAAAGGCCGTTCTCAAGTCACTGCAGGAGATCTGCAACGAATTCGTCCGAAAAGTTGCCAGAGAAAGAGAACCCAAAAATGACATTCTCATCAAAAACGCCAGGGGCAAGGTCTTCACCTACGGTAGCTTCCGCCTTGGTGTCTATGGGCCGGGCTCGGATATCGACACGCTCATCGTCGCGCCGAAATACGTTACTCGCGAGGACTACTTCAACTACTTTCCCGACCTGCTCGTCTCAATGGCTCCCCCAGGGGCCATCACCGATCTGACCGTCGTCAAGGACGCCTTTGTGCCCATCATCAAGTTTGAGTACTCCGGCATCAGCATTGATCTAATCTTTTCTAGAATCATACAGAAGCAGATATCCCCCGATTTTGATAGCCTCAAGGACTCTAGCTTGCTGCGCGGCCTGGATGAAGCAGAGCTGCGGTCCCTAAACGGCACCAGAGTGACCGACGAGATCCTCGACCTAGTACCCGAAAAGAGCACGTTCAGGCTTGCGCTGCGAGCCATCAAGCTATGGGCACAGCGCCGGGCTGTGTACGCGAACATCATGGGCTTTCCCGGCGGTGTCGCCTGGGCGATGCTGGTGGCCCGTGTCTGCCAACTGTATCCGAAGGCCACCATGTCCGTCATTGTCAACAAGTTCTTCTTGGTCATTGGCCAATGGCGCTGGCCACAGCCCGTGCTGCTGAAGCCCATTGACAGCGGTCCTCTTCCTGTTCGCGTTTGGAACCCAAAGGTATGTGCGGCACTGACTATATCCGGAATTCCTTCTTCGTCATCTCCCGATGCTGACCCTCTTGCTACTCGCTAGGTCTACAAGGGCGATTCGTTCCATCTCATGCCCGTCATCACCCCCGCCTATCCTTCAATGTGTGCGACGTTCAACATCACTCGATCCTCGATGACTATCATCCAGCGCGAGCTGCGCCGTGGTCTGGAGATTTCCGAGCAGATCATGGTGGGCAAGCGGCCGTGGAGCGACCTGTTTGTCAAGCATACGTTCTTCACGTCAGGCTATAGATACTACATCTCTGTCATATCTGCCAGCAAGGACAAGGAAGCGCACAAGATATGGTCGGGATACGTCGAGTCCAAGGTCCGGATGCTCGTACAGAAGCTGGAGCAGCACCCTTCCATTGCGCTGGCGCACGCCTTCAATAAAGGATACGATCGACGACACTTGTGCAGAAACGAACAGGAAATCGGCCAGGTGCAAGAGGGCAGTCTTGAGTTTTTGATCAAGGACGAGGACGAAAGCAAGCCTAACGGAGCAGTCGTCAAGACCGAGAAGGGGGAGGGCGATAACAAGCCCAACGGGGCAGCCGTCAAGTCAGAGAAGGTCGAGGACGGCAGCAAGCTCAGCGATATACCCATGAAAGCCGAGAATGACGAGGGCGAAAACAAGCTCAGCGAAGTGCCCATCAAGACAGAGAACAAGGATGGTGCTACAGAATCCGTTTTCCCAGTCGAGGTCTACACCACTACTCACTATATCGGCCTCGAGCTGGAAGAGGGTATGTTCTCTTCGCACCCAACCCCCTTTCCCTTGCCCTATCTTCCACTGCCTCTCCTTGCCATATTCTGAAGCCACCCATGTTGTGTGATGCTGATCTTGCAGGCGCCAAATCTCTTGACCTATCGTATCAAGTCGATGAGTTCAAGGTACTGTGCACTCAGTGGAAAAAGTACCAGGACGACCTGGAGCACCTGGTGTCTCTAGGAGTGCAACACGTTCGCAAGTAGGTCTTTGCGGTTTCCCCCCTCCCCCTTTTGTTAACCGATAAGGATATGCACTGATGTCGGCAAAAGCTTCAACCTCCCAGACGACGTCTTTGAGCCCGGTGAAGTGAAGCCTCAGAAGAAGTCGAGCGCTAAGAGCCTGGCAAATAAAAAACGAGGCGCGCCAGAGGTAATTCCATCGCATCGACTCTGTCCCCCACGCTGTTGGGCTGCGATGACCCAACTCCAGCCTCGTGTCGAGCCGGAGAGCATACTGACTAGTTGACAGGACAATACTCCTCCCGCGAAGAGACAGCAAGCATCAGTTGCAGCCGTCGGCTGAGAAGAAGCAGATGCGATTCGTGTCCTCGGGCCTTTTATCCGTTTGGTCAAGTCAATTCCTAGCATTTCAAGCTGACGTCAAGGAATCGGACGCCTCTATTACCCCTCCCCCAAGTCGTAATTCTGGCTGGATATTGACCAGCAGCTCAACCATGCGATCTCTGCAGCCCGATGGCTTTCCAGCTTTCTTAAAATTCCCATTTCTTTTCCCTTGATCTTGCATTGTTCGCTCTTTTCTTCTACCTTGTTCTTTTTCCTATTTCTTTACGTATATCGCCATCTTCGAGGCAGACATTCGAGGTACATAAAAAACAAATGGCGCCTAATCTGATATTAGCAGGACGATGAGAGCTGTAACTCGCGACAGTACCGCCTCACACCGCATACTCTTTACGAATCCGTAGCGAAACTTCCTTCGGTCGTATAAACATTGACACAGAAGTCCTCTGGGACGTTTCTTTTCTTCGTGTATTCAGTTGCGTTCCTTAGTCATTACTTGCATTTAAATCCATCTGAGGGGTTACATCTAGATAGATTTGGCTTGCTACGAATGCAATACAATTTGAGACATTGAATCCTGGTTTCCAAGAAAGAACCCGTGAGCATGTGTGAGACAGACGCTAGATATGATATCACCTCTCTCTCCCCACAGGTCATGATCAAACAGAGTACTTTCTGCGACTTGGTACGCCCCAAGCGCCAGCTACTCCAACCATGCCGCGTTCCCAACCCTGTCTCGATGAATGAGCTTTTCGCATGCGACCAGGTGCTTCTGGGTGTCTTTCGGTTCGAGTAAACCTCGTCCTTGTAGTTCGTCTTATATTTCATAGGTGAACAAGCGTGGCGAGACCAAAGGGAGAATGGAGGAGAAGGACTACCTCTCTCAGTCAGATGCAACTCTCATCAGAGATCGTCATCCCCCGAATCACTCCCGCTCGACCACTCATCCTCATACGCAGCCCCCAGCTCCGCCAAGCCGTTGACCAAGTTCTCCCGCTCCTCGAGCGAAATGGACGGCGCAACCTGGGTGCGCAGGTTCCTCATCCTGTGCACGATGGAGCCGTCCGACGTCAGGGTGGTGTGCACGGGGATGCTCTCGCGGCCTTGGAGGTCGTAGTTGTATATTGAGGGGAAGCTGTCGAGGAGGGGGTATAATAGGGGTGTTTGATGGCTAAGTGAGTTCCCCCGGTTGTGTTAGCTTGTGAACAGGATGATACCCAAATTGTTGTATAGGACCGAGTAAGTTGAATCAGAAGGGAGAAAATAAGGAGATTAAGGGGGAAAAGGCTTACTTTCGAACAACTGAGCTTCCGATAATGGGACGCTGTTCCGTCATCGTCACATCCCCCGACTCGTCTCTCGCCCCCTCCGGCCTGCGAACAGACGACAGCCGGCCAAAGGCCCGCTCACTGCCGCCGCCGCTGCTCCCCAGCCTGCCAGCGCCATCCTTCAAGCTCCCAATTTGCGACAAGTCCATCTCCGGCCGCTCCCCGGCGTCGACGGCGTGCGGCCCAACGCCCATCCTCATGTTGGCAAGAGTCTGCCGGCCAGAAACGTTCAGACACTCGGCCATATCAGACAGCCCCAACGGCCGCGACGACCCGCCGCCGAGCCGTAGCCTGGACTGCAACGACGCGCTCTCCGTAGCCGTCGCCAGCAGCGCGGAGACATGCCACGGCGAGGCGCTATCGACGGCTATGCTCGCCGGAACAGCCCGCGCACCATCAGGCACGCCCAGCGGCACCACCATGGACGCCTGCGCGCACGCCGAGTTGAGGCTCAGCGCCGTGTTGGCCAGCCTCACCCTCCTCTTCTCCCTCGGGACGCCCGCGACGGGGCTCTGCACGCCCCAGACCCAGACGCACGTCTTGGGATGCTCGTCCCGCAGCCGCTCAATATAGGAGCTCGCGAAGCCGCCCCAGGCGTCGTCGAGCGAGGCGTACACCTGCACGCCTTGCATCTGGTCGCACTCCTCCACAAAGGGCCGCCAGTCGCGGTCGACAATCTCGTCCTCCTTGTCGAGCGACTCGAAGAGCTCCGCGCCCGTCTCGAAGCGCTCAAACGGCATGATGCTCGAGTTGAGCTCAAAGTCGTACAGCTGCACCAGGGATTTGGGGTGGTAGTAGACGCGCGAGTAGTCGGACCAGTAGCGCACGTCTGACGCCTGGAGGGCGCTCGGCTTGAGCCCTGCGTCGAGGGCTTGCTGGTAGGTGTTTTGCGATAGGGGGGTCTGTCTGTGGACTGCCGGTTGACCTGGCCTGTTCGATGTAAGCTTGGATCTAGGGGAGAAGATGAGAAGAGGCACCTCAACGGCTTATATCCAGAGGGATTCGACAATCGAACAAGCTCTCTCATCATGACCCTTGTACAGTTCAAGGACTCACCATAGAGAAGCCAGAGCAGCATCCTGGCCCGGCGCAACCTCATACATGGGATTGACCTTTTTCAGCGGCCCAAAGCCGCCCTTTAGATCATACACGACCGCCCGCGGCAGAAACGTCTCCGATCCATCCTCGCCAATGCCCGGCCGCCAGTGAATGTTGTGATCAACGAGTGAGGTTTCGTCCTCGGCGTAGGTGAAGTAGGACTCTTGAGCGTTCCAGAAGTGAGTGGCGACGTAGTTGCTGAGGTTGCCCAGCTGGAGAGTGACAATCTCCCGCATTGCTGTGATGGGTTTTTTTCTGGTTTTATATATATAACGGTACTTGGGGGAAAGGATTCTTTCGTCAATTATGAGATTTGGGGCGAGATTATATGAGAATATATGGCGAATGCTTCTCCCACTTGAGTGAGTTTACAGGGTATTACTCAATTACACATGGTGGTTTGGATTTTATGAGGGCATCAGATTTGGTGGTGAGTATTAGTCAGCAGTCGATGTTGAGCGGATCACCAACCAACTCGGAGACGTCTGGATACTTGTGTAAAGCGAATGATGATAACGTGGTATAATCCACATTCCCCAGCCAAGATGCATGAAGGGATATTGCTCAATCATCTGGCAGACAAAAGTCATAGAGAGTATGAAGAGTAAATTACAATATATCTAGACACATATACCGTCCACCTCATGACCATTCATGACATCTCATGCAACTTGATTACAACTGTCGAGGCATCTTTTACAGCTCACATCATACTGCCTGCAACAAGTGAGCAGCGAATGTCCCTTTTGATGAGAGTAAAAAGAGAAAAGGAAAGAGAATAAGAGGAAGGGGGGTTTGGGGGCACACAGGCTTGGACGTGAATATGCTAAAGGAAAGGAGCAAGCAAGTAACGAAGGAAAAAAAAGGCCTCGACAGTAACATCACCTCATAGACACCTCATCACCTTGAAACCAGCCCGTCTGGCCGAACGAGCCATGATGTGAAATACCCAATGACGCCGATGCTGCTGACAAGCTCAAGCGTAAGCCTGCTGTTGCACCTGATCTGACCGGCCAGCCCCAAAAGCCCCAGCGGGTCCTGGTGATGAGACACGACTTCCTCACGCTTCGACTTCTTGTTCTTCTGGCGCCTCGACGTTTGCTTCACCCTGGCCAGTGGCATGTTCATCGTTATGCTGGGCCCAAACAGCTGCATCGGCGTCTCGCCAAGGCGCTCGGCCTCGAGGCTCAGCCGCAAACTCTCGGCCCAACTCGCCATCTCCAGAGGTCGATGGTACTGCTCGGGGAGGAACGGACGACCCCAGGAAGGGGTGGAGAATGAGTACATCTCCATCGGCTGGCGGCAGATGAGAGCCGATTGCGACGAGGAGCTAATGGCTTTTTGTCGCCGCCACTGCACGCACTTGAGCGAGGCGGAGTGCCGGAGCCTTGCGCTTCCGTCTGGTGACATGAGCTGCTCGACCAGCTTCTTGAGATCCGTCGAGACAAGCGGACGCACATATTCCGAGTTCATCAACACGCTGGCATCCATCACATCGTAGTCAGAGTCGGAAATGCTCGAGACGGCATAGACATCAGAAGCTTCAGAGGCTGCTCCAGGGGCACTAAACGAGAAGTAGGCAACGTCCTTGTCACGCAGGCGGTCATCGATGTTTTGCTTCGAAACAAGGGCCTCGCGGCTGTCAATCTCATCCGCGCGGGCTAACAGGGGTATCACGTTAGTTGTGTTTTGCAGCGCTCTGATCGTCTCGATGTCTGCAGGTTCGGGTCCTATAGGCAGCAACGTATTAGAGATTAGAAGTACTTGGCGAGTATTGAGTAAGCGGCAGCCGCACCTGTATGTGGCAGCAGATACAGAACTGCATCAACAATGGGCTCTGTCCCGTTGCTCAGGAGGTTCCACAGGTCGCCGTCACTGATCGGCCGGTGCAGCAAGGGGAAAAGCTGCGATTCGATATACCGGACAGCCGGATGCACGCCGTCGGAGCCTCGCTGTGAGGGGCAGTCCACGAAACAGAGGTTGCGGTCAAGCATCTCGTCTACTGCTGCTGAGCTTCTTCGCCTCGGGGCAAGAGAAGGGTCCAGCTCGGCTCTCCACCACGGGTAAGGGCGCGTGCTGGCATAGACTTCCGACACTTGGCCCTTGTTCTGGTTCGTAACGGGGTCAACATGAACAATATGCTCGCTGCTTTGCGCTATGGCTGTGATGAGCGTTGATTTCCCGATGCCTTCATTTTTCATTTCTTTGGTTAGCATAGACTCTCCCCCCCCTTTAAGCTCATCGCCACAACGGGAAACATACCCTCTGCGCCAGTCACCAAGACCTTGAGCTTCCCCAGCGACTTTCCCGTATCCGAAAAGGGCCGGCGCCGCGGTACCGTCAGGCTGGGCATGATGAGCTGTGGCGTGTGGTTCTCCGCAGCGCCATCCGTGGCATTTTGAAAGAGCCCGACGCCGCCCTGGTGAGGCCCGATGAGGCTCAGCGACGAGCTGATCCGACTGGCGGACATGGAGGCGACGGGCGAGCTCATGGGCGAGTCGGTCGAGCTGATGACCGACTCGGGCCCCGAGGTCCCCAGGTTGACGGGAGTCATGGGCCGGGAGAGGTCGTGAGGCGTTTCGCCGCCAGGCTGGGACGAGAGAGACGGTGAGGGCCACGAGATGGACGTCGCGGACGACATGGTCGAGCGGTGGCTGGTCCTGCCGCCCCGGAAACTCGCCTCGTGCTCGCTCTTGTAGGGGAAGCGCTGGGTCTGGAAGCTCATGTTCAAGTCGCCCAGGTCGCTGATGGATTCTTCGGTTCCGACAAAGTACGTCATTGCTGGCATCGTTGCATTCGGCGTCAAGCTGTCGGGCCGCCCGTGATGGGCGGAGGCGCCGCCGCCGCCATTTGGAACCGGTCGCATGCTGTGCGCGAGTGTCCGGCAGGGGATGAATGAATCTGGGCAAAATCGAGGAACGGGGAGCTTCTTGGACGAGGGGAAAGTGAAGAGGGCGACGATGAGCTGACGTGTGATTTGGAGTTGATATCGTTGGGGATGGATGGCCTTCGGGCGGTTGTTAACGCGACAGCGCAGTTGTTAGCAGGAGGTATAGGTATGGAGTACCGTCTCACCGAGTACAGGCCAAGTAGATGTGGCGGGCGGCGTGGTGGAGAGGCGCGACCGCGGAGAGCGGGGAACGACTTCCAGGTCACCTCCCGCGTCGTACTCCATACCTGGCCGTTAGTCCAGAATGGCGCCTTTGGCAGCGGATGTAAGTCGTTGAATGCTATAAGTAGTGCTGAGAATGCTACCTATACATGGATAGAACTTTGATATTCCCTCATGTCTCCAGTTTATTGTTGGGACCCTAATACTCACTTCTTCCTCATGGCTCTATGAAGGAAATGATCGGACCACTTTTTACTTAGAATGTATATTCAAAGTCCTTTCGTGATTCTGCTCCACGCCTTGTGCCCGGGGGACTGACCAAGGAGCATTTGATCGCATCCCTGGAATGCAGCGCGACAGCTGCAGCCAGATATGGCTTATCGGGTTATCTAATCTAAGCGCATAGTCTGTATTCGTGACCCACTATAGCGGGACAGCCTGATCCCTCTCTCTCATAGGTACCCGAGTCCTATTAGCCTTCCTTTCCCTTGTGGTGCTATCAGCTGCCAACCTTTTAGGAGCGACATCATATTTTCCAGTATTGGCTCATCTCTAAGCAAGCAAACCAGCTGTTTATTCATTTGTTCCTTTGTTTGTGAGAGGTAAAGACAGGACATAGACTCCGCCGAGATGGACGGCAAGAGGCATCCTAGCTCGTTCCAGCAGCTGGAGAAGCTCGGAGAGGGCACATACGCAACTGTGAGTTACGCCACGGCATCACCCTGTCGCCCAGAGGTCTCGTCGACTAACCGCCGCCGATCCGCGCGTTTCTCTATAGGTGTTCAAAGGGAGGAATCGCCAGACTGGAGAGCTCGTCGCTCTCAAGGAGATCCACCTCGACTCGGAAGAGGGAACACCGTCGACGGCGATCCGCGAGATTTCACTTATGAAGGAGCTCAAACACGAGAACATTGTCGGACTTCACGATGTTATCCACACCGAGAACAAGCTGATGCTCGTGTTCGAATACATGGACGGCGATCTGAAGCGATACATGGATACCCACGGCGAACGTGGCGCGCTCAAGCCTGCGACCATCAAGTCCTTCATGTACCAGCTGCTCAAGGGCATCGACTTCTGCCACCAGAATAGAGTGCTGCACCGAGACCTCAAACCCCAGAACCTGCTTATCAACAGTAAGGGGTGCTTGAAGCTCGGCGACTTTGGCCTTGCCCGGGCCTTTGGCATCCCCGTCAACACCTTCTCCAACGAGGTCGTCACCCTGTGGTACCGTGCGCCGGACGTCCTGCTCGGTAGCAGGACGTACAACACGAGCATCGATATCTGGTCAGCTGGTTGCATCATGGCTGAGATGTACACTGGCAGGCCCTTGTTCCCCGGCACCACAAACGAAGACCAGATTGTCAGGATATTCCGCATCATGGGCACGCCTACTGAGCGTACATGGCCGGGCATCACGCAGCTGCCCGAGTACAAGCCGACCTTCCAGATGTACGCGACGCAAGACTTGCGCAACATTCTACACGCCATTGATCCCACCGGCATCGACCTGCTTCAGCGGATGCTCCAGCTTCGGCCAGAGCTGCGCATCAGCGCTCACGACGCCCTGCAGCACCCGTGGTTTAATGACATCGTCCTACAGCAACAGCAGCAACAGCAGCAGCAACAGCAAGCAGCTCTGCAAGCTCAGGCGCGGAGCTTCCAGCAGGCGGTTCCGTCACAGCCCTTTGACAACAACTACTAGCAGCAGCATTGGTGAATTCTGCGTTGTGTCCAGCGTCCCAGGATCTTGCAGCGCTGGCCATGCACAGTATAATTACCTGGTCAAACTTGGCGGATATCATCCGTTGTGTGTGAAACGAAAAGAAACAACAGCGACTTGTTGATTCCTTGGCTGGCCATCAAAGTCAGCACACTTTGCGCCATACATTCACAGGCCCTGCATTTGCCCTCAAGTGTGAATCGTCATGGGTCTGGCTACAGTTTCGATTTTGCGGCGACTCTGGGCTCTTTTTGGCGGTGGTTGGATGATATTGCTGATACTAAAAGCTCATCGGCCATGAATTAAAGGGGGAGGGCAAGACGAGATATCCATCTTTTATTAAGAAAGCAAAGCAAGACAAAAACAGAACCTACAAGAATTGTTTGGACTTTGCATTCATCACAGACACGAGGAACCCTCACCTATTGACTCTGTAGCGATTGGATTCAGTGTCTATTGACCAGACTACCGTCTACGGGGCTCTTGAATTTACGCTTGTTCGGCTCCTTGGACCACGTCTCGGCAAGGGCAGCTGTTTCATCTTCCTCGGGAGCAAATCCCATGCTCAACCGGAGCTTCTGAATCTCGTCGCGAACCGCCTTGGCCACATCGACCCTGAGCTGCATTGCCTCGGGATCGTTCTTCAGCAGTTCAGGGTCCCCGCTCTTCTCGACGAGCCGCTTCCACGCACTGCGGTAGTGACCAAACAGGCTATCGGCGTCGGTTGGCTGCCCAATCATGATGCGTATCCGCTGTCCGATGCGTGGCAAGAATCGAGGAAAGCCCCTGTCCTCGGGCATGATGTTTTGCGTGCCGTGGATGAACATGGGGACAAACTCGGGCGCCGGGTCGCTTTCGAGAATCAGGCGGGAGACGCCCCATTTGAAGTATCGCAGGGTATTTTCGGGGTTTTGGTGGCAGCAGGCTTCGGGGAATATATGGACCCAAGCGTAGTGGTTGGCCGCGAATGCAGATGGCGAGACGAAGCAGTCGGAGCCGGTGGTAGTAAAGGTCATGTCAGACGGCTTGACGACGGACGACGGGCTGGAGAGAAGCTTGATGGCCTGGGTAATGGTGGGCTGGTACAAGCCGCCGTTTGGCGAGTGCCAGAGTCGGTGCGTCGGCAGCACCTGGCCGTAGCTGAAGAAGGCGGAGAAGAAGCGATTCTTGAAGCAGATGTCGTGGGCGCCGAGCCCCCACCGCAGGTTCTCGGGGTCGACGGCGTAGCGCAGCGGCAGGATGCCCCAGATCAGGGGATCGTCGAGCCTGGCCAGTTAGCAGAGAGTCGAGCAGACGGGATGAAATCAACGGGGCGCGCTCAAGTATCGAGGTGGCATACACGGAGACGTGGTTGCACACAGTCAGCAGGCCGCGGTCTCGCTTCCCGCTCCTGCGGCGGTCGAGCACGCCCAGCAGGTTGTCCAGGCCGGTGACCTCGACCTTGTTGAGGCCGTAGAGAAAGGCGCGGGATGCGGCGCCGACGGAGCCCATGACGGCCACCGAGGCCAGCCTCCAGGGCGCGCCGGGGCGCGATGCGGGGGTTGGATTCGACATGAGCCGCGGCTTTGCTCTGCTGCTTTTCAGCTGCTACTGCTTCGGCTGGGGAAGAGGGGAGAGCCGGCTCCTGGGTCCATGCCAGACACTGACGGAGGAGGCCATGGTGGTGAGAAGAGACGTGTAAGTAGTAATAGCACAAGTACTAGGAAGGTCAGGTATGGAGCAGATGGGGCCTCTAACTTTTTTTTTTTTCTTGACCTGTTCCTTCCTTATTTTCCCGCCTTGGGTCCCAACAAGCGCGGAATACCTGCGCACTAATAAACCGGCCCCTCAAGGCACTGACGTCTGGTGGGGGGGCTGCCAGCTGCTACAGTTATTAGTACCTCGTCCACTAAACTGCCCCTGATGCAGTGGATGGCAGTCCGCTAAACACGCCCTATCCCGGCCCGCTGCGAGCGCTGGAGCGGTCAATGCGTGCACCACAAGCGCTGTAGAGTGGGCGTGATTGGACGAGGCAGGGGGGCTGTCTGCTTGTTTTGGTACTAGGTAGCCATTGCACAGACGGCTAGCCTTAGACGGGCAACATTTACGTCGCAGCTTTTACATGTGCCTGTAGAATTCCAGGACTTTTTTTGCTGCTTCAATACGCCTACTTCATAAACCTCTGTAACCATCGACACATCCGTCACTTTGGTCTCTGCTTGTATACACGCGACGGGACAGATCATAATCACAATGTCTCATAGTATGTTGTTACTTCTCTCACCATTGACCTACAGTAAGGGCCCAGACACATCTAACAACCATTCTGTTACAGGCAAGCGAAACACGACCCGTCCCGTCTTCACCTCGTACGAGCGCGAACAGGCCAAGTCCAACTGGAGCTCCAAGTCAGCCCAGCTCAGCCGCGACTCCTTCCTGCCCTTTGGCTTCTGCAGCCTGTGCCTCGAGGACGCCCGCGAGCCCGTCGCCTGCCCGCGGGGGGACATCTTCTGCCGCGAGTGCGCCCTGGAGAACCTCGTGGCGCAGAAGAAGGAGCTCAAGCGGGCCGAGAAGGCGCGCCAGAATGCCGAGCGGGAGGCGGCGAGGATACGGGCCATTGAGGACGAGGAGGAGCGGGAGCGGGCGATTCGCGACTTTGAGTTGACGCAGGCTGGGTTGACGACGACGAATGGCGGCGGTACTATAACGAGTAGCAACGCGAGCAATCACAGCACCAATAAGACGGGCAAAGCAACACCAACAAGTTCGAGTGCTGCTGCGGCGGAGAGCGCAAACAAGCAGCAAGATGCCGTCGTTCTTCACGCAGGGTCCAAACGAAAGTTCTCCCTCGACGCGGACGAGCTCGACCGGATAGCAGAAAACGACAAGGCAAAGGCCAGGAAAGCCATCGACGACGAAAAGGTGAGAGATGACAATCCGGCGCGCCGGCTTTCCCCATGTCCCGTCTCAGCAGCCAGCACAAGCATTGTAGCTAACCTCTTGTCGCTCTCATGAACCAACAGGCCGCCAAACCGTCACTGCCCTCGTTCTGGACACCCTCGCTCACCCCCGACGTACAAAGCAGCGGGCTGGCCCCCGTTGCCAAAAAGACCAAGACGGCGCCGACGTGTCCCGCCTCTGCGGAACACGACCCTCACCCTTTCTCTCTCCAGAAGCTATTGACCATTGCATTTAACGAATCCACAGACTCGTCCACCAAGCAGTCTATTCGGACGTGTCCCTCGTGCCTCAAGACGCTCACCAACGCCTCGAGCCCCGTCATGGCAGAGAAATGCGGCCACGTCCTGTGCTTCAGCTGCGTCAAGCAGTTTCTGCTCCCCTCGGAAAAGGCGCAGGCCGCCGCCAAGGAAGAAGCCGCGTCGCATATTGCGTGCTTTGTGTGCAGCGCCCCTGTTGCCGTCACCAGCAAGCCCGTCAAGGTCTCGAGCCCAAAGGATCCTCTACCGACAGGGCTGGTTCGGTTAAAGTCGGAGGGGACGGGCTTTTCTGCTCGCGGCTCAAGGACCGTGGAGAAGTCGAGCGTTGCGTTTCAGTGCTGAGAGGGTTAACGATCACTCATGGTCCTATTGCAGTGCTTTCGGCGGTTCAGATGCAGCGTTTTGCGTTATGCCGGGCCGTTCTTGGATAGACTCCTAAGGCCTCACCCTGTAGCACAGGCGTTATTCGGCCAACAACGTGTCGAAGATCAGCACCACAAAATCTAGACTCTCATGTCTCATCAACATGCTTATCATGAGAGCGGCTTGAGAAGCCAAGCAGGCGAATGGCACGAGCAGCTGGTTCCAGCTCAAATCAACTGGGCAGCCAAGCGAGTCGCGTTGTCACTTGGTCGGTTTGGCCGCATAACTACGGGACAGCTCTGCATGCTTGGCCTCATCTCCATATCAGCGAGTGCTCTCCGAGGGTTGTCTGTAGAGGCGCAATCTTGGCAGGACGAATCGGAACGAGCCAAGACAAGCAAGAGGCCCCATTCTGGCCATCATACGGCAAGGCTACTCAAGAGACTCATATTCGAAGCCTCTGGTGTGAGCTTCCAAGGTGCAAGAGATAATGGAAGCTGCGTCAATCAGATTGATTGATACGAACCAAACAGGACGACCGAGCTCTGCGATATTGCTGGCTAGAACAAAGAGATTACAATCTATTGCATAAATGCATTGAGCATGTCTCGAAGAGCAGACAATAGAATTTACCATGAACAACTCATACCACACACGACAATAGCCTGTTAATCACACGGCTTGATGTAGAAGAACAATAAGACTCGTATTGTATTCAGTCTCGTCTCTACTCATCTGAGCTGTATCTGAGCCCTTCTCTTGTCGTACCTTCAAGGTATATGTGTGTATGCTCAACCCCAAACAAGCAATCTATGCAAAGTAATGTATATACAATATCAAGTATGAAGAAAGCCCGACAAGAAGTAAGCAACGAATACTCCAATTCCCACTGGTACCAAACGCCGAGCCCCTTTGCACAGGGTCAGAGAAGAAAAAAAAGATGTTAAAAAAGGGGGTTCAGCCCTTGTCATTGCACTCGTGATAACCCGTTTCCTGACCCGTCCTTTTGCGTAAAATGGTATATACCCAAAACAATAGACAAACAAAGCTGATGAATAAATCAAACCAAAGGTAAAATGCGAAGAAAAAGAGAAGAAAAAAGGTAACAGAAGCAAAATCGCCTCACATCCCCTATCCGTACCACCAAGGGTTGTAATAGGAAGTTCCCAGGGAAAAAGCGGGAGAGGGTAAAAAAAGGGAAAAGAAAGAAAGAAAGAGTGTCAAGTCTCTCTCTCCATCTCAACAGAGAAAAAAAAAACATCGTCTCTACGCCCGACTCGCCACCGAGGCCTGCCTCTGCGGCGGCGCAGGCATGCCGAAACTCGCCTGTCGCGCCGACCCCGGCATAGACATTGACTCCACGTCAGGCTCACCGGGAGCGTCTTCGTTATCGAGCAGCCCTGGGTGCCCTGGCGGCAGTCTCTGGGCGCCGAAGCCCGTGACCTTGAAGATGTTGGTGCGGCCGCCGTTAGTGGCCATCTGCAGCTGCTCGTGGAGCCTCGCCAATTGATACTGCCGCTTGATGGGGTTGAAGACGGGCTGGGGTATCAGGGGCTGGGGATTCCAGTTGGCCAGGGCATTCATGACGGCGCCCGTCTCTTCATCGGAATCTACTGGGCCATTGTTGGCGTCGTCGTCGTCTTCGAGGGGTGCGTTTGCATCCAACGCGGCCTCTGCAATGAATGGTCAGCCTTGTACATTCTTGGAACGTAGCCATAACACGTAGCCATGAAACAGAGGTGACATACTCTGCTGCTTGGCCTGATTCTTTTTCTGGTATGCGGCCAGAAGCATGTCGTATGGTAAAGATCTGCCCGAGACGGCACGTTTGGCTCCCATGGAGTGGCTCTTGCACGTCAAAGAACGTGCACACGGCTGTCCATTGGGTAGCATGACACCACACTGGCGCTCTACATCGACAGGTCCTGTAGTGGGAAATAAACGAGTCAGTAGACTATCCAAGTCAAAGAGCAAGTATAAGCAAAGTGATCTTTCAGCGGCATACCTTTTGGCTTGGGAAGCTTGGCCTTCGGCTCGTCCTTCTTCTTCTTCGCCTTGGGCCCCTTGTCGACCTCGACATCTGCCTTGCGCTTCTTGCTGGCCTTGTCGTCCGGCTTCTTGCTGGCGGCCTTTTTCCCGGCCTTCTTTTCTTCCTCGACCTCACTGTCTTCGTCTTTCCCGTCGGCGTTGTTGTCGTCGTCGTTCTTCTTAGCCTCTTCCTCTCTGGCCGCTTCCTTGGCCCGTTCTCTCGCTTCCCGGGCCTCCTTCTTCCGCTGCGCCTTCTCCTTCTTGACCTTGAGGCACTGCGCAACGTGCGCCTTGGCGGCCGTCTTCAGGATGCTCTTCTTGCAATGCTTGCACTGCTGAAGCTCGGGGTTGTCCTCCAGGGGTCGGCCGGTTGCAAAGGTCTCGCGGGATAGGTCGTCGAGCTGGTTGACTACGGGGCCTGGGGAGACGGGGACTGACGGGGTTGCGCTGCTAGACTTTTTTTTCTCTTCTTGCAAAGCATCAGCGTCGGACTCAGTATAATGGTTCACTTCTGTTTGGTGAGCATGGGGTAAAAAGGGACCATGGTGACGTACCGTCTACCACGCTGCCATCCATCCAATTGCCCGGCTTGTTGTGCTTCGGCACCGACCTCTTCAGCTTGATGGTCGCATTCTTCGAGTCCTTTTTGGAGGCGACTTTGATGGTCTGGTCTCCGCCTAGAAGCACAAGTCAGCACGAGCTCTCCTTCTTTCGCATTTCAGGACATGGTCATAGCCAGGGCCGCCCACCTTTGCGCGATTCTGGGTCTGGCGCCATGGTTGTCGCAGCGCCCCCGCGATAGTATCAGTATGTGTGATTTAGGTCGCGCAATGTGTACGAGTCGGGGCGGTAATTGGTACGAGTACGGCAATGCGCGACGGCGGTCGGAATCTGGCGGTTGATGGTGGGTATAAGTTGGAGATGTGAGCAGTGACGCCGTACCAGGTCGCGAGGCTGATGTCCAAGCAACCCGACTTCACGTGTCTTTGGTGCAATAGGCATGGCGACGGGGGCGGCAACAACAATGTTCCGGGTGCTTCAGCGGCCACTGACCCGCTGTAGGCTGTAAGGTTTAGTGCTGGACAGCTGAATACCCGCTCACTGATTGATTGCCCTGATGCTCTGATTAATCAGCTACAGCTTGAATGTCAATGAATGACACCTTATTGTTCTCTGGGTACAATAAATTCGACAGCATCTCGTCAACTTCGTAAAAGTAAGAATGGCCGAATGTGAAGACACGGTGAAGTGCAATCAGAGTACTAGTACGACTATGTGCTTGATCAACGGCGCATCTGCCGTCACTTTATGGCACTACTAGTACTTAGCTGAGGGTACCTGCAGTCCTGCACTACGAGTGCCTGACTGGGGAGACCCCGGCTGCAGATATGGAGTCTCCCCATGGGGTCTCAATGGACTCGTCCCTTTTTGCGCAAGTCCAAGTCGAATCCAATGTGAATCACTATATATATCTACAGATGTATTCAAGAGCTTCAAATCGACAGTCACTTATTCAATCATGTACCATGTCCTCAGAGGTGCAGAAGAGGGCGTGTAGGATATACATAAATCGACCGTCCAAAAAACAAAAACCCGACATCATCGTCAGCTCATCGTCGGAACGTGCATTTCACGCCATGCCTTGTAGATCCGATCTCTCATTGCCATGTGGCCAAGACTCCGCTGCGACCGAAAAGTTAGCATGTGCAGTGAAAACATCATTCAGAATGCATCGCATCGAGGGGTTCGTATTAGCAGTACATGATGGTAAAGCAAAACTCACCGGATGAAACGTCTTGCCGTAATATGTAGGCACATACCACATCGAATTCTCCGCCACAACCCGCCCGTCTGCCTTTCGAAGCATGGGGTCCCTCTCAGCGGCCATGGCCATCATACACAAGGCCAGCTCCCCCCAGTCCCCGGACGTCTGTGCCGGGTCGAGGCAGTTCTCCGGGTCGATTAGTGGAGAGTCGGGAGGCAACAGGGCATCTTCTGCCACGAGCACCGACTTCTCCGCGCTCGGGTTGTTGTCCAGGCCGCCGACAAGGAAGAACCAGGTCTCGTTTCTCGCGTAGTCGGGCTCAACGACGCCTGGCTCGCAGAAGCGATGCCCCTCAAAGGCCTCGTCGTAGTCGACAAAGAGGACCCGGGGCTCGGCAAAGGCGGCGTTGATGGCGTCGACTGAACGCCGGATCTTGTTGTTGACGTCGACAACCATGTCGTTCATGCGCTGGCGAAGCTTGCGCTCCAGCTTGGGGCCGCGCCACCACATGCCAAAGGAGTAGTCGTCGCACTCGTCCGTATCCGCGTTGAAGAAGCGCGCATATCCCGTCACGGTAATGGTGAACCACGGCCTCTTCTCCCAGCGGACGCGGTCGAGAATCTCCATGATGACAAGTCGAAGACGGTTTTCAAAATCCGAACTGGCCATCTGCTCGTCGGCGTGGCGGAGAGCAGTCTCGCAGGTGCCGGAGTAGAAGCTGTAGAATCGGAAGATGCAGCTATTCATGATGTCGAAGAAGCCCAGGTCGTTGCCGCCAATGGAGAGAAGAGCAAAGTCGGCCGTCGAGGTTGTGTTGAAGCCATCGATCTGGCTGCGCTCGGCCCCGGTAAGCATGTCACCAACAGTAGAGCCCGTGCAGGAGAGAAACTGAAAGGTTGGGTCGTGGCCCCCGTCCAGACTGCGGTGGAGGTCGCGCTGCACCAGCACCGGGTAGGCGTTGGCACCGCGGCGACATTCATCTTCGGTGCCATTGATGAGGCCTGTGCCTATGCCGGCCGAGTACGAGTCGCCGAGGGCAATAAAGCCGGACGGACGGCTGCCTGGTCGACTGGGGAAGGGCGGTGCGTAGGGAGCGGAGGGTCGAGTGGCTGCGGACGAGTCTGCGACGAGTTTAGTAGGCTCGTCATAGGATACTATTATACACAAGTGAGACGCCATGTTACCTGGAGGAGGAGGTTGTAGCACCAGCTGTTCATTTTCAGGGCGATGCTCGTACGGCTGCCATCCACGGCCCTGCGCAACCAGGCAGAGACCGCGGATTGGAGCCAGCGCCAACAGCAGCAACCAGGTCGCAATATCTGGATTCCACGTCATGATGAAGACAAGAAAGATGAGGAAGCAAGTTTCGAATCACAAGCAGCAACAAGAACCAGACGCCGAGCATGCGGCAGCAAGGCGAGGTTGAGGAGGCGATGGAACTTCCCCGGCGTGGGAGCCGGGGTTCGCAACTTGTTGGGTCAACGCTGGCGATGAGGCTGTCTGAGAATCCAGGTGCGGTTCCGGGTATCTGGCGCCTACACGGCACAGGATATCATATGGAAGAAGATATACATGAATGGATGCCTTACTCCTCGGGTAATTTACATATCCCTTACTCTCTCTCGGGCGAAAGTAAGAAGGCGTTGGTGTAGATGCGATGCCGCCATGCGTGTCGTTGAATGACACGGCCAGACGGTATCAAGCTATCAACGCTGCCTGCCTGCCTGCCTGCCTGCCTGGAGCGACTAACAAGCCGGCCCTTGTTGGCGTCTTTTTGTTGGGCTCGCACAAGCTCATAGGCTGCCGCTGTTGCATGTGCCGCGTCGGCGACCTCCTACTTGCTGCAGCGACTGTAGCAGTCTATCGCCTGGAACCTGTGTCATGCCGTTTTAATGCTCCGATGCTGGATAGCCGGTTTTTGAGCAGCACTTGTTCGAGAGCTGGCTATACCGTTTGCGATGTTCACGGGACGAGTGGATAGCAACTGAAGGGTTCGCGCAGATCACATCACTGTTACTGTGAAGGATCTTAGTTTAAAGGACATGGTCGTGGTAGAGGACGAGATGGCCTCTGCGGTAGCACATGCTAACTCCTCGCGAGAATATTCAGATCTTGGAACGACGTCTGAAAGTCGATTATCAGTCAACAAGGTAGGTAACTGTACCAGATAACGCAAGCAGCGAACTTGACTCCGTATAAGCACATCCCCAGCCTGGATCCCTGCAACTCCGCCATGCCTGTTGTCTCCAGCAAAGAAACATGTGCTCTGGTCCACATGGCGATTCCATAAAAGCATGGGGCAGCACTTGAAACTCCTAGTACTTTAGGTAGTATTCGAACAACGATCAATAAGTACTAGGTAGATAATAACGAAGAACAAGCTGGAAGTCGGAGCGAACAAGCAGAGAGAAGCCGGGAGCGAGCCAAGGGAGTACAAAGCGCATGTACCTCGACGTGAATACGTCATTCACGTGCTTCCAGTTCCAGCGACTGCCCACATTGTTACGAGATGCTCGTCTCGTCTCCACCCTGCGACAATCTCGATTCAAGCACGAAGCAGCTTTGCGTCATCGCCCAAATGGCATCCTTTCCCAGCTTCCACGCCAACGACGGAGCTCCCAGCATGTCACTCGTGCCTCCCGAATAGCATCAGCAGCAGCACAGCTTGGATGGAATAGTATCCGATAGCAAGAAGTAGTTGTAAATACCTTAGTAATACTCGCATCAAGATGGCCCGCCATCAATTACCAGATGGTACCTCCACCAACACTTACACAGAACAACCTCAACCCCCCCTCCCTCCCCTTTGGCGTCATCGCCGTCATAAAGAGTTGTCCCTTGTCTTCCCCCAGTCCAGCCTCGCCTGCCATGGCCAACCGGCGAGTTGCAAATCCGGAATCTGGTTGGTTGGGTAGCCGATTGATTGTCCTCCACGGCTTGCAACACACCTTATGCGTCTAACAAGGTCGCATTCTCGGCATCGACGTCAGAGGCGACTCCAGCTCCAACTGCCCAGTTTTATAAAGGCAGTGCACCCTCTGCCTCGGGGCTCTTCCTTGCGTTCTCATTGAATTTCTGCCATGTCAACTTACCTTACTCTTTAACTTGATACCCATCTTTTCAAACTGCACAATTCGTACCTGACTCCAACTTTGCCACTGAATCCAAGTATCCCTTCCAACCTCTATCAACTACATCCAAGCACCGTAATCACACACACACGCGCGCACACACACGCACGCACAATGTCTACCATGGAAACCATCAACCAGATCGCATCATCCGCCGCCAAAGCCGTCTGGGGTGACGATCCCAACGCCGAGACTCACAAGGAACCCATTTCGGGCGCCACCGGCGACGTCTCCAAGGGCGAGCCCTACGATGCTGGCAACCTGGGTATGTGAAGCCCAACTACACCAACCTTTGGTGTAATATGTCTCGATCATTCGTCAACTAACGCCGAGACCAGACCCCGAGGAGCAACACAAAGTCGAGTCCAGCCTAAACGCCAGAAACGAACAAATTGACAAAGACGACACCCCCTCAGACCTCGCCGAGGGCGAATATTATGCCCTTTCGTCTTCCGCCAAATACAAGCCACTCCCTGAGACTCCAACCCAGGAACAACCAAAGGACAACACCACCACCACCACCACCACCGCCATGCCCCAGAACACCACTCAGCCTCAGGACATCTCCAAGCCTCAGGACACCATTCAGCCTCAAGACATCTCCAAGCCTAAAAGCGCCTCGACAGACGTGCCCGCAGACAAGTCTACGGTGGCACCCTCAGACGAACCAGCAGACTCCTCCGCAGACCCTGAAGCAGGCAAACCCCTCGACCAGCTCACCGGCAAGGGCCCCCGCCCCGTCGAAGAACTAGCCAGAGAGAACGGCGGGAACGCCGCCGCCGCGTCCTCTAACGACTCCGTCTCTTCTCCTCAGGGCAAGGACAACAAGCCCGAGCCCAGCGTCGAGGACAAGCAGGAGCACCAGAACGCCCACGAGGGGGATGCCGCCGCCGAGGCGACCGAGTACGTCAAGACGACGGGGCTTGCCGCCGATGGAGGCAACTTTGATGCTGCGAAGCCTGGTGCTGGGCGAGAAGCCGATCGTAGGTTCCTTCCCCATGGTTTTTTAAACTCGCTCATGGCATGATTCGCTGACAATCCGTTTACCTAGGCCTGATGGAGCAAAAGGGGCTCAAGTCAGCAGACGACGACGGCGACAACAAGGGCAGCAGTGGCCGCAAGAGCTCCGACTCGGGACACCACCACAAGGACAAGCCCAGCCTGGGCGAGCGCATCAAGAATAAGCTGCACCGGCACTAAATTGTCTCAAGGAGTCATGTTTCCCTTTACGTTGATACCTCTTGTTGTTTTCGGCATTTGACAGATTGTATCTCGGAGTACTGTATGAATAGTAATTTACCTTTTAACGGAGGCAAAATGCTAATGAGGATGCTTACCCTATAATCCCAACTCTGGATATTTGCACACATGCTCCCAACGTTATAATCTGGTTTGCTTCCCAGTCAAGCACATACGACCATAGGTAGTGGAAAACTCGGGGTCCCGTCTGCTCCCCCATAGATAAGCCACTAACCGGCAGATTAGTAGTTGGGTGGGTGACCACCAGCGAACACCGGCTGTTGTATGTTTTTTCTTTTTTTGCGTATACACCTCCATGATGGTGCTGAAGCTGGAGACATAGGGCAGAATACAGGTGTGAATGAGCACATACGACCATATCCACTGGAAAATACGGGATCCCGTCTGCTCTCCCAGAGTCAAGCCAGTGAGAGGCAGATTAGTAGTCAGGTGGGTGACCACTGGCGAACACCGGCTGTTGTATGTTTTTTCTCTTTTTTGCGTACATCTTTAATATCATACCGCAGCTGGAGATATAAGGCAGGATACAGTTCCAAGTGATCACATACGACCATATCCATTGGAAAATACGGGATCCCGTCTGCTCTCCCAGAGTCAAGCCAATGAGAGGCAGATTAGTAGTCAGGTGGGTGACCACTGGCGAACACCGGCTGTTGTATGTTTTTCTTTTTTTTGCTGTCTTTTACCTCGTTCTGTACTGCTTTGCAAACTCTTGTTGCTTATTGTCATGTTCTTGTGGTTCATGTGGTGGATGGTGAGGAAAAGGCAAGCAAGTGTTAATGTACTAGCTGAGAAAAAATGCCATGTCATGTGTAAGAACCTGCCTACTTTACCTACCTACTACAAGCTACCTACCTTATATGTTCTCAGATTGATTGACGACATGCCTGATCTACATGTTTCATGTTCTACCTTGCATTAGATACAAAAAGACTGCTCTTCTGGAGTGAAGCCAACGACATCAGACCAATCAACTGTGCCACCATGGTAGATAGTCACATCCATACGTGGAAATCATAGATACTTACTAACACACAACTATTGATATACTGCAACTGTATATACAAAGAAGAAGCCTATGGTATCCCTTGATCCTACATACATAAAGCATAATAGGTATGCAAACTCGAAAGAAGAAAGCCAGCCCACGATGCTCCAACTATCCAAGCAACTGTCCTCGAAAAACTTCTCAGGTATATCAGCAACATCAAAGTCTCAAAGGGGGGCAAGGGGGGACCTTCGTTCTACTCTTCCACTCTCTTTCTCAACTTTGCCTCACCTCTCTCGACATGCAGAGTACCCAAGAGAGTTCCGGAACCCCCACCCTATTCCAAATCGCTCAAGATCCGCCATCATCAGAAAGCGTCCCCCTGGAAACGAGAGCACGCCAACGCCACACCCATGCACCAAAAGTAGACAGAGAAAACAGGAGAAGAAAACAAAGAAAACACTAGAGTCTCAGCATCAAGGGGGGACTGGGGGGGAGTAAGATGTCCGCACTGCTGTGTCTTCTTCAAACTTCATATTTTGGTACCGATTCGTGGCTCCAGCGCTCGGTGAACCCCCATCCCCCAAAAGCCAGTAGATATATATATATATATATATATGTCTCTGGCTAGGGCTCCTATTGGCATATGAGATGACAACTGGAGCCCAAAAACGGCTGTAATGCGAACTCGCGTTGCATTGTTCTAGATTGCCAGTCAATGCCTTTCTCTTTTTGTGTGTGTATGACTTCTTCTCCCTGCTTCTGGTCCTCGTTCCCTCTGATAATGGCCGCCAGCCATGGAAGCCTCTCGGAATAAGGAGAATAGTAATTTCAAGCAGGCGCGATAAACGTGGCCGTTGCGGCATGACATCTTCCCTCGACGCTGAACCGTCCCTATCCTAAACTTCTCTTGGTATAAATATGCTGCGTTCATCCCTAACATGCTGTGTGTGTGTGTGTGTGTGTCTCTCTTCCAATATACGCCGCTTGTTCATTGTACAACACGCAGAGCATGTTCTTGACATGGTCCAGTAAGGTGTCTCCAGTATAGATATCGCCCCAAGACCAAGGGCCCGGTCCGTGGACGCAAGTGTTTTACAAAAAGCCAGATTCAGCAAGTACCCTGAAGCAAATGATTAGCCCTGCGATCACAAAGGGGAGCGAGGATAGACCGGCCGAGAAGCCAGCTTCGTTCCATATTTGCGTGTTATACATACCTCACAATCTTCTCGTCTTCGCGCTCACGCGGCTCAATCTGCAAACTCTTGTCGTACATTTCATGCACGTCTCCCGCGGCTTGCATATTGCTCAAGATGTAGTCCTGCAGCTCGGGAACTGGCTGCAAAGAGTAGCCCACGTTCTGGTACTGCTGGATGTCGCGGATGACTTCGGCCGTCTTTGCCCTCTTGGCAAAGTTAATCAGGTTCGTCTTCTTAATGACGGAGGGGATACCGTCCTCGATAAATGTAAGATCGGTCAGGTAAACACCTGGGCATTATTGTTAGCTATCCCGTTATCCAGGGCTCGCGGGCTTTGGAAAGCGCCAACTCACCAAAAAAGGGAATGCACGGCGGGTTGGCGACGTGAAGCGCCTCACGGTATTCACCAAAGTTCTTGGTGCTGGCCATGAGTTTCCGCATCGTTTCCAATACGACGCTGGTCCGCTGAGGAATCTGATCCCAGGTTCGCTTCAGACGCGCGATAGGCGCCGTGCCCAGCGCTGAAATAATGGACGTCAATGTGGAAAAGTTGTTGAGGCTTCGGCATTTCTATCCAAACAGTTAGCACAGGCCCTTCTCACACTTCAAGAACGGCATGACATACGTCGGCAACGGCAACAAAGTGCTTAATCACCACCACTCGCTTCTTGACATCCACCTGGTTCAAGATCATCTCCGCCACCCAGTTGGTCATCTGGTTGGAGTGCAGAATCAGGGCCTTGACATTCGGAGATGCGTCGGGGTCGCCATCGGCCACCTTCTTCTGCCAGGTCTTGTTCAAGCACTCGGTGGCCTTGATCTTGGAGTACAGCCGAGACTCGATGACGGTCAGCTGGCGAGCAAACTCGGTCACGTCAATGTCCAAGAACTTGAGCTTCTTCATATTCTTGGGCACAATGGGCGTTGGGGTGCTCTGGTTCAGCGTCTGTATCATGCGCCGGGCACCGGCCTCCTTGCCGCTGAGCCTCTGGTCCAGAATGGCCATGAGCGGCCCCGAGCCTGGCGTCTCGGTCGACTTGACCGTGTCTCTCGCAAACGTGTACACGTCGCGGATCAGCTGCTTGGACTCGTCGTTGAAGTCCTCCATCCAGAAGCTGTCAAACCAACTCTTGAGAATGTTGACGACTCTGAAGCGGATGAGCTTCTGCTTGCGGTCCCGCCACAGCTCATAGTCGGACTGTGAGAGCCCCTCTGGGGGCTGGATTCCGAACCGCTGGACCAGCATCTCGAAGAGTTCGCGCGCCGTTGTGAAGGATCGATAAGTCAAGAGGAAGGTGTTGTTAAAACTCGAGTCTAGTTTATCGTGGCGCGTGAGCTGCTCGACGAGTGCAAGGAGGGAGCCTCCCTTTACCGTCGGCGTGGTTGCCTTTGCATCCCACGACAGATCGTGTTCGTGGTCCAGGAGCAGGAACTCGGGCGTATCCTCGTCGGGCTGGAGCTGTGGTGACGGGTCTTCTCCAAAAATCTTCTTGACCTTGGAATAGTCGCCCTTTCTGGAGAATCCAGGAGGGGCATCGCCCTCGGAGTACGACTGGGTGGTGATGAGCGGTGGTCGAACCGGTGTCGTCCTTGAGTCTGACCGTTGATGCGGTCTCTCGTATGGCATCGTCTCTCCTCGCTGCAGCGGGCCCCTCTGCGGCCGGCGACCGGCCTGCTGTTGCTGCTGCTGCTGCTGCATGTTGATGAGGACTTGCTCTGAGAGCAGCTGCAGTGAGAAGCCGGTGTGTGACGAGTTCGTCTCGAGGGCTCTCGCGCATTGGCGAACGTAATCAAGCCGGCTCTCCAGGGGCTCCCCTCGCACCTCTGACCACTCGTCCGCCAAGGGTCCAGCAACAGCCTGGCAGCTGAGAATGAGGTCCGCAATGTTGTCGTAGAGCGATTGCTTGTTGATGCTAAAGTCCTCCAGCTGCGGCGTCTGGAAGGTATTGCCCAGAGAGGACAGGTCGACAGACTCAATCATGGCGATCCATGGCCTAAACATCTCGACAACCTTCCCGCCGGCAAAACAAATGTTATTGGCAATGGCCTCGTGGCGCTGGGGCGTGATGATCTTCTCGGGGGTGGTCAGGTTCTTCTCCAGCTCGCGGATGCTCGACACGAGCATTCTCTTGTGCTCGTCCAACCTCTCGAGCAGGTTGCCGTCCAGGATTGCCGTGGGCTCGGACAAGCCCTCTTCGTCGTCCAGAAAGTTGGGAGACATCAGGTCGTGGTAATCCAGTCCGTTGCTCTGCCAGCTTCCACCAGAGGTGCTACCAATGACGAAGCCGGGAAACAGGCGCGGGATATCCTCTCCTCTCTGCTGCCTGGCAACCTCGACGTAGCTGAAGACGCCATGCAGGACGCCGTCGGCCTCCTGGAGACACTTTTGCACCGACTCGGCGTTGGGCCAGTCGGCGGCCGCGATGTGGGAGGAAATCACCAGCTTGGAGAATTTAGACATCATGTCTCGGAAGTGAGGGTAGAGCGCCTTGTTGGTGGAGATGATGGAGGGCTGGCCGGAGTGATTATCCGTCGTCCCTGAGCCGGCGGCGAGAAGCAACCGGAGGTGGTCGGAAATGTCCTCGGCTCTGGCAACGTACTCGGAGCGGGCGTTGTTGGTGACGGCTTCGCGGTATCGGTCGATGGCGCGCTTCATGTTGGTGACGAGGAGACTCCAGGTTAAGGGCGGCGTTGATCCGTCGTCGAAGAAAGATTTGGGGACGCTGGTGGTAGCCGGGACGTTGTATGTGGTGCTCGTGAAGGATGTCGCCGACGCGATGTTTGGCGGCTGTGAGCTGTGAGCGAATCCGAGGGCGTACGCATCGCTCCTCTTCCGGCGGCCGGGAGAGGTGCCGTTCATCGAGTCCATTGACGTAGACGGCGAGAGGACGGCACTGAAGGAACCTCGAGTGCGAGGCTTGAGGGTGAGGTCAGTGTCAAATTTCCTTCTACACAAAGAGGCGAAACTGCGCAAGTAGTTTTGTATGATAATGTCCCTTACCATAGAGCCTCTGGAGGCGTGCATCAACGATTCACCTTCGGCCTCGGAGGCGGAAGTGGCCGAGTCGTCGTCTTCGTCCTGGGTCAGCCCGCGGGCCATCATTTCCGGCGGCGGGCGTGTCTTTT